AAATCATTCGATTTTCTATGGGCATTATTCTTTCAAGAGGAAGGATTAAAAAACATCGATTCACCCCCTTGAACAGAGTTACACAGGGAATCGAAAAGTTTCAATCTGACGATCGTATTTAGAGGGATTTTTTTTTCTTTTCGTTCACAGGAAACACGCTCGGTTATTTTGTCCTTCGGTCACAGTTACTGGGGGGTGTCGTGAGTCGGGTGACAAAGATGGAAGAGCCACTGTTACTAATCCGACGTCCACACACCGACCTCCTCGGAATGTGTTGTAGGTGGGGCCACTTATTGAAACGCTAGATTTATGGATTGAACGTGAACGGTAAAGTAGGTTTTCTGACACTTTAATCTTGCCGGATTTTGATAAACTGTTCGATAATTTTATATCGAAGTTGTGGTTTTATAATTTGATTTCCCTCCCTCTTTTTTTAAAACGGTTCTTGCGCTAGTTTTCCTAACGTTTTTTTTTTAAATTATTGTGAAAACAATGGAATTTGATGTTTAAATTTATTCTTTCTTCGAAGAATGCCTGTTTATTTACTGAGAAAAATGAATTTCTAAGTCGTTTTTCGTGTGGTTGCTCCTATCTAAAGAGGGATTAGTAGTGTTGGAGAGAATTATTGCACGTGTATTGCTTAAAAACTGTCTATTTAAAAGCCAGGTCTGATTGTCTACTAAAAAGTAAATTTGGGCACCTCACGATGATATGCCCAAACTTTTCCAATTATCATAGTCTTTTATGGGCTGTATGATTTTCTATGGGCATTATTTTTTCAAGAAGGGTTAAAAGGTAATGCCTTTTACCCTCCGGACAGAGTTACACGTAGATGAGCTTTCTCTATGATGATTGGAAACGTTGAAGGTAAAAATGAGAAGAGGAAGGCAAAGAACGTGATGGTTGGATACTCAATCATCATGCTGTTCAAAAACTGAGTTGTCGTATATAGAAAAAAATAAACTAGAATTATTGTTTAAAGGGTCACTAAAAGGCAGAAACGACTAATTGGGTTACAATAACAATACCAAGTCCATCTTAGAGCCATTTTTTAATGTCTAAAAAATAATCCATCAAACGTACTAAATGAAAAGTCTCAATATCCATCAAGAAATCTCGAATTTGATTGAATGATACCGATATGTATCTAAGATTTTAATGGATGTACAGTTGTCTTCGGTGTCCAGATAAGTATCCTTGGAGATTTAGATACACTAAAGATACGTTTAAATAGATTTATATACTTAAATCTAATTTAGTTCTGTATAAATGTACTTTTAAAAGGCGAATTAAGATGTCTGCTTACAGTTTACATCCGATTCACTAGAAGTCTGGGTATACAAGTATATATATGCATGTAAATATATTGTTTGATGTATGAATTTCACTCTAACTTCTACTGTATTGACTATAGTGAAGAAAATTGTAGATTATTTTAATTAAATTTTAGCAGATATATTCGGGTGTTGACCGTATTTAGTAATGATAAAAGTACAACACGTTACCATATCTTGTTACGCGTGTTTTGTTATGCCCATTGAACGAAATGGTCTCAGTTACCGTTACATTTCTCCCTCCGTTTAAGAAGATCGAGATTGAAAAAAAAAGTCCTCACGACTTTCCTGCTGTTTCGACGAACACTTCTTTGCGTCGAATTCGACCTTTAACCCCACTCCATCAGCTGAGTGACGTGTCTTTCGGGTGTCGGGTGTAGCTATTTAACATGATTCCGTCCGAATGAGTAACCCAATATCCGACAACCCAGCTTTATAGTGTATCGACCGCGACCCCCTTCTACCCTCCTATAGCAACAGGTACGTAGCATTTTTTAGTGTGTATGGGGGGTGTTTTTTTTTAATTTAAAGCGATCAAAGTTGAACCTATTTGTTTCAATTGTGCAGACGTAAAAATTGTAATAAGTAAGCATTAAAATATTTTCGATCAGTTTTCCCCCGCTTCCCCTGCTCTGTCCGGTTTTAGAGGTTCGACTGCCAGAAGGCAGAGTGGTTGGCAGATGGAGCCAGCCAGGCAATCACGGTATATAGGTCCGGGAGGAGGAGAGAATTGTCGGCTTTGTACCTCAACAAAGAACAGTTTAATTAAACGAATTGGCTGCGCGATCTTTACCGTCTGACCGATGTTTTCATTCACCTCTCCCACCCTCTCGACTGTTTCTATTCTGTTCACTTCTCACCGCCCATTTACATCTGTTTCTAAATGAATTATTCGATTATTCTGTTTCGTTTTCAATTTCTCTTAAGCCCCGTAAAGGTATTGTTACAATAATCCCCTCCTTCGAATATTTTGATTTAATTCTTGCCAGTGTTTACGTGGTTTGCAATTAGTAGAAGTGATTGAGAAGTTTAAATTGGAATTTTTAAAATGTAAATGTAGCCAGAACAAAATATAAGTGTGGTAAAAAATAGTAAAATTATGAGTGTTTTTCCGAAGAAACGAAACATCGAATGGGTTTGGCTTAAGTGTCTTTCACTAATAATTGTTTATTAGTGAAAGAAACTGCAGAATTTCGCGCTTTCTTTATGAATATAAGGGCATATTGACGTGTCTCGTTGGTGTGCCACCAAAAATTGGGTGTATGCCACATGAGAACCACTACCCTGTTCGTGTTTTTGGCATGTTTCTTCCCCAATTCAATTGGCTTCTTTTACAGATTTACACAAATAATTTATAATAGAGATAACTATAAAGAGCAGTAGTGTGTGCTGCAATTGTATCATATTTAACTAAATAAATGGGTTTTGAAAGTCTTGCTGCACAGGATTCGAGGATTATTCATGCTAGTTTCTTAATAGGGAAAGAGAGAGCATCATCACATTCTTTGCTTTTTTTTTGCATAAAAATCTTAGGAAAAAAGTTCGTACGAATCTATCTTGTTGAGGTGTTACGGAATGTTTTGTTTTCTTAACTGAATTGCACGGTTTACTAACATACATACAAAGTGAGTTGCGCCATTACTTATTCGATTTACATTATATAAATGCATCGTTTATAAAAGTTGCCTAAATTGAAAGCCAGTTTACATTTTAGGCTCCTAAACAAGCTTTAGTAAATCGTGGAAATTCACAAAAGTGATGCTAAAATTGCGTCATCGACGACGTAACATCGGGTGTCTCGTCGATCCTTTTCAAACACTATCGATTTCGACGTCATCGCCGCGATATCGATATGGCTTTTCTCATTCGTTAAATGTTTGTCTAGTTAATCGCTAATGAGAAAAGTCATCGCAAGTTACGTATGCGTATTTCTGTGCGTGTATTTGCTTACGCTAGTATACTTGTTTGTGTGTTTGTTTCCATTGTATACGTGTTGTCCACTTCTCTGATCTGACTGTACACAGTAACTTGTCTACACTCGATTTGCCCATAAAACGACTTAACAGGAGACCAAACATTACACGAAAAACTCCTAATTTGCATACAGTGACGTTACAAATCGCTGGAAAACTAGAAAGTCACCAAGATTTCTTTCAATTTTACGTCACACAAGCGCTTGGTTTCTACGACACAAATTCGGAAAACAAGTAGATTGACGGATTCTGAAAAGCGTGAACGTCCCCATAATTAAATTTCCATAATAATAAACTTGTTTCCAAAGAAAAATTTTTGACTAGACGCATTAACAAAATTATATTTAAACACTATAAATTAACGATACGTCCGCATTTAGCGAAGCGATTTCTACATTAAATTTGATGAATTCGGACGAAACTTGCGATAAGTAAATATTAAAAAGAAAAAAAAAAACCTAGAGAAAAAAGCGGAAGAAGGGGAAGAGCAATCGATATTCATGCTTGTCGAGTGATGTTTAATCGCGTATGTCAAGGGATGACGCACTCTTCTCCCTGCTCCTGGTTGCCATTGATATGTAGGCCCTTGATTGTATTGTTGGACGGTTCGTAATTTCGTCTTCGCTAGACACCATCTGTGCAATTTCTTTTGTGACGTTCACACGATACAAATTAGTACAAATTACGTCACATTAAAAATCGCATCTTGCTTGTCTTCTCATCCTTCGGTTCCGAATTGCAATTTTTCTACTCTTCCCCCCTACCTTCTTCCTAAGTGACGTATTAATGACGTTAAAGAGCCAAATCGTTTAGTCATAATTAGGAATTTCGTCATCAGCAATTCATAACAATACATGGGGGGAGGGAAAGACTCGGAGACAATCGATATCTTTTAATCAGCTTCGTTAGTCTCGTACTAATTGGATAATAGGTAAAGCGATATTCAAGTTTTTAGGTGTCATAAACCTGTTTGATGCCCGCTTGTTTACCTTAAGTTGATCATTCTGAGCGATTAAATTTGATTGACACACGTTGGAGGTAATGAAAATCGCCATTTATTTGATTAGCTTTGACTTATATTAACGGTGTAGCCCGATCTTTGAGCTCCAGAATGACCAAAAAAAGTCATTTTATCAAAGTTCTGTCTGTTGAAGCGTTAAGATAAACAGTGTCAAACGTTAACGAAATACGGAAGAATGTAAAATATACGCGATTAATGTGCTTAAGTATCTGTTTTTTTTTTATGGAAAATTGTAGAGTAGTAGTAGGTTTTCGAATGCTTATAGGTGATAACCTTCGGTTTGACAGTCAACAAATGGAAGAAGCTAGCAAAAGTCGACGTTTTAACTGTGATTTTTAAATATTTTATGGGTTTAATTGTGTTTAATTACATTTAATTAACTTCTAAAAACATACAGAAGCTCAAACTTTTAAAACTAGCTTCCTAGTTCCTGTAGTTATTGAATGAAAACTGAGACTTTACACCTTCAGTTTCCATCAATAAATACAAGAAAATGGCAAAAATCCCGAGTAAAATCACTAAGAAATTGTAGAAGAATAAAATAATTTCGGTTTAATTAATTTTTTTAATAAGATTTTATAGCGAGAAGCCCTTAGAGGCAACTCACAATTCCCTTTGTAGAATCACAAAGCACTCGTTAATCCGAATTTAATTCCTGTTTTCTTTTTCTAGCGAGATACCTCCAGAGGCAAAGGTATCTTACTGCCAGGCATTTTACCACCTACAAATCGTGTTGGAGCCAACAAGAACCAGCGACATCCACCGATTACCATTCTATAATTAAAGATACAGAGAAGGCTCAAGGTAAGAAAAGATATATTTTTAGTAAAAGAAAAGAAAAAAATCCCACTCCTGGAAGGGGGGAGGGCGAGATTAAGTTCTGCATCTGTTGCGGTGGGACAGGACGAAAGGGTTAAGTTAATTTTCAAAACAGCAAAGGGAAGAAGGGGATCCGGGATGTAGGAACAGGTTTTGGAACTGCGGTCAATTGTCCATTACACGCACATGATGACCGGTTGGGAGAAGGTTTATAGTCCTTAATGGGTGAGAAGCTTGCAGCGGCGAGGAAGATTATGAATAGGTCAGCCATTCAATAGGCCTAATTTGTAAGTTCGGAGTCCCCTGGATTATGTTGTTTTTCTGGCAGATACGTGAGGTAGAGATACCAGGTTAGCGTTGAATGTTGTCGCCTCCCATGACACACCATGGCTTCCGGGTATATCGAAAATCCGATACAGGTGGATGGAGTATAGTTACTTGTCTTACTCTTACTGAAACATTCTAAAATTACAATATTCCAGTGCAATTTTTTTTTTCGCAAGAATAAGCGCTCCACACGCTAATACCAGTGTTTAAATGCTTATAAATCTATCAAGGATAAAGTTAATGGTGAGGATTTAACCACGTGATCAGAGTATCCTTCACAGATTTCCAATTTATAAAGAATTTATTCACTTCCCTTCGTCGGGACGATGATTGATTGATAAGATTTTAGTAAGGGCAAGTACCCAACCGTGCGTTAAATCAGTTTATAGCCTAACGAGCTAAAAAAATAAATAAAGGTTTTATTTAAAAAGAAAAATCCGAAATGGGAAATCGTAAGCCACAACTAAACAAATCAATTATATAATAATAATAATGCATTTTGCCTGCAGGTTGTGTTGTTTGACCTCCTTCCCCAATGCAATTACATACGAGTTTAAAAAAGAAAAACTATATAAAATTAAACTGAAATTATTATAAGTGCAATGGGAAATTCTTCTGTAGATTGTCTCGTTCAACGTGTATTAACCTAAATACCCATTAAGAAGAAGCACACGAAGAAGAAAGAAAAAAAAAAAAAAGGAATAAGAAGAAGACACGGTCCACTACACCCCTTCGCCATATTGAAAAATTAAATCGACGTAACGGGTATTAAAAAAATTGGATACGTAACAAGCGGAAGGACAGTTATATATATATAAAAATATGACCCCGGTGTTGCCGAACTGATTGCCGTTAGTTTATTAGTTAACATCTGACCGCGGGAACTTGGCCCCCGAGGGAGACAGAACCGAGAGGAAAAAAAGGTATCTCCTATTAAGTAGCGGGCCTGTGATGTGGGGTGTGTGAGAGACTGCCTCGCAGAAGTTCTCACACACGACAACAACCGGTGTTTGTTGTTGTTGTGTCACCTACAGGCTTGACCTGGTCCTGCCCGCCACAGATCTCATCCTTCTCTCTTTCGACCTGAAGATTCTCACACGCATTCTTCCCCTACATCCTGGTATTTGGTTTGTAAATTGTACCTTGAAAATGGTTCTTGTTTTAAGCAGCTTCTTGTTTGTTTTATTTTTATTTATTTATTTTTTTATATTATTCTTCTGTGAAAGGAAATTGTTTGATATTATCAAAGTTACGGTGCATATAAATTTTAACGTTGTTTGTTTTACTTAATTTTTTTCTTTTTCTTCTGTATTTTATGCTAATGTACCAAGAAAACCTCAAGATTTTGATGGGAAAAATATTAAATGTACAGTACCATCACTTCCTGGTGCTTCTAGAGTTTAATTTTCGCATTTATAATCAATTATCTCGTGTGGAATCCCTCAAAATTTGCTATTTTTCATCTCTGTAATGGCGTTTTAACCGAGCAAATTTAATTTTTCTCTTGATAATTGCCTCCTAATTGCTGAGTAATTGATAAATCCTCTAAAATATTTAAATATTTTTAATTTTTTTTCAAGATTTTTATCTGTTTTAAGACGAGACGATTGGAAGAAATTCAACCATTATCTCGATAAATTAAATGCAATTATGCAGTTAAATTTTCCCTATCCTATTGCAGGATGATAGTGCAATGGTTAACACTAAATATTACATGTTTTTACATAGGCTATATGCTGTGTTTTACATACATCAAAAAGGCTAAGTTGTGTGAAGTTTCCTTCTTAAGAAAGACAATAAATGCATTCGTTGACAGACAACTGCCTTGTTTACTTAAACATCTATCAATGACTTTTTTTTTTTTAATTGAAGCACTTCTCGCCTTCCTTTTTTAATTAGAATACTTCAGCACAAACTTATCCTTTATCCTGCACGTAAAACACAGTAAAGATGCTTATCCTGTATAGAAAAAGTATACATTTATATGTATTTTTAATTAAGTTCGTGCAAGATTTTACATGATGGTAGGATCTTTTTTTTTTCCTCTTTTTCTTCCTTTCTTTCCAACCTCATGTCATTTATTAAATTCCCGCATTATAATTGAGTGACGTTGTAGAAGGTGACGGTGTTTAAGCAATATACCCCGAAGCCATCCACCTGTTTGTTTGTTCGGTGACCCGTGTTGGCCCCTCAACTTCATTTAGCCTCATTTCGACTCTTCTCTCTTTATTCCTAAGCATTTATGCTCCAGTGAATAGCCCCGGGATTGATGACTTAACACCTTTAATTAATTAGAGCTCCGATAAGCTGAAAAATTCACGAAGGGTGTCATCACTCCTCCAGGAAAAGTCGATAAAAAGGCTTGTAAACATTAACATGTTAACGTTACTATATATATATATATATATTTTTTTTTCTTAAAGGAGGAAGAGCGAACACACAGCTTCTCCTCCTTCCTCTCTATCTCATCTATCTCCTCCTTCTCTTCTTCTTTTCCCTCCTCTTCCTCCTCCTTCTTTCTCTCTACCTCCTCCTCTTCTTCTTCTTCCTCCTCCTCCTCCTCTTCCTCCTCCTCCTCTTTAATGATGATCAGGAGTCACAGCGTTAAATAAAAAATTAATTGAAATTTTTATACGTGTAACGTTACATATGCCGCATTTAAATCCCTTTTTTTTTGGGGTATTTTTATTGGTTTCAGTTTAATTATATAATGGCGTAATTGTATCTTAACCGCGGGATGGTTTCTTGTAATTGTGGCCATAAAATTTATAACTTTTTCTTTTTGTTTACGACTCGAAGTTTTATCGCTCGAAAATTAGAAATAAAAAGCGCTTTAATTGAAGAAAGCGAACTTTTTTCCTGCTTGAAAGAATATAAATATGGGGTGGCCCATAACTCAGTTAACCGAGAATGTTATTCACGTCAGTAGAACCGAATAAAACAAAAATTATATAATTCGTGGCTGCGTATTAGAAGGATGAAGACGGTTAGCTGACTTTTGGTCCTTCCCGATTAAAGATACATACGGTGGAATCTCGATATAGTGAATGAACTAAATCACTCTCTACATAAAGAATAGCAAGGACCAACACAACTGTTCGCTATATCACGTGTCACTAAATCGAGAGACCTTAAATCAATAGAGAATCTCTATTTAGATGACGTACAGGGTGGTCCATAACTCAGTTAACGAAGAATTAATTCACGTCAATAGAACAAAAGGGAACTAATATTAGAAGCTGTAATTGATCTGTAAACGGTTGACTGACTTTTGGTCCACCTGATATAGCGAATGAATGCGTAAAGATTAGCAAGGAGCAACAGAACTATTTCGCTATATCGAGAGTCCATAAGACAATCTGTTTATGACTGCAAAACACGTGCTTCCTGGGTATTTTTCTCACCTCTGATGAAAATCCCCCCTTAGGTTAATTGTTTTGCTTTTATTGGACGTGCATCCAATAAGATTAAAACAATTATCTCGTACAGTTTACACACACACTGGCAAACGTCCTCCAAATTTTTATTTCCCTCCCACTCATCTACGACTGGATGCATTAAAAAAAAAATAGCTCATAGTTATTTATTAACTTACATTTTACTCGAAATTACCTATAAAATATTACGTTTTTAATTAAATTTTTTTCAAAAATATAATAGTTAATTGTAAATTACAATAGAGGAAACACTTGGATTTATATGAAATATCGAGAAATTTGGCTAAAAATGGCAGTTTTGAAGCGAGTTTTTCATATAAAATTCCTTAAAAAAAAGCGGATTCGGACCCTAATTCAAGTGGTCTTACTTTACTTAAATACACACACATATATATATTTAAACTTACGATCAGACAGACGGATTTACGATAAGGTTTACAATTTATGGCATTATTTACGATTAAAATCAGTCTACATCCCTAATATTATTAACAAGTCATTTAGTTTAACATTTACAAGCGATTTAATTATAATTATAATTAATTAATTAATCAATCTGTATCAATTTTAATGAATTATGTAGTTATAAAATAATAAAAACTTACCTCTTAGTTATTAATAAAATGAGTTTTTTTCACGGCTTTTTGTAACAAATTTACATATTATACAGTAATTAAAGTAAAATTATGTTAAATTATATTACAAATTAAGTCGAATAACGTAATTGAAATCAAAATTAAGTTAAAATTAAGTTGCTGCGATGATACAGAGCATTGGAACACAATTAAAATACCGGATGAGGTACGTGTTTACTGGTTTATTACATAGGAACGTGCCTATTTTTTTTTATATAGAATAGGCTTGTAATATATAATTTATATTATAATTATGCCCTTAAATGTGTTTAGAATCTTAATTATAATGAAAATTAAGCTATAAGCTGATGATACTCCCGTACGCTTCGTTAATTTCATAACGTTACGCGTGTCGCTTCCACCATTCAATACATTAATTTGATCGATTTACGAGGGCAAAATAAGGGATTTTTCCCTAAGTAAATGAATTATATTCAATTGTACAATTGTTAAATTATTCCAGGACTGTTTGGCTGTTTATTTTTCTCGCGATTTCCCTCGATTTTCTTACGGTAAATCGAATTTACACGCTGGCGACTCGATAAATACGGGAACTACTGCGATGTAGCGCCAGAAAAAAGAAAACTGGATAATTAAACGAAAATAGGGATTTTTCGAGATAAAATCCGCCTAAATTTAGTTAAAAAGTGGTAGAAATTCGCGCGAAACGTGTAATTGAGTACGTGTGTAATTTACACGATGGCGAGCGCTCAATTACAATCAGTTAAATAAAATTAACGGCCCTACAGGGCCGTTACGGTTTTTTACAGCGTGTGAAAATTAAGTAACGAAGAGGAAACTGCGTTACAAGATAATGCAAAACACAGAGAAGGTAACGTACTTACCGGCTTGGTTGTGTGGCGATCGGAAGGAAACAAGGACCTGGTGAGCTATCCGGATTACCTAACCTGTCCAACCGTGGCCAGTCGGGAGGGTTGTCTGGCTGGATGAATCCCCCTCCTGAATCTCATCATCTATCTATCCATCCTCCTATGAGATTTTTTCCCCCTTCGCTGCTGTTGGAATTGTCCACCATACACTTAATTTGTCAACGATCGGACCCCCCCTTTGCTGATTAATTCCCCCTTTAGTTTTATATTATAATCAATTATATTGCGTTCCGGATAATTGCCGGGAAGGGTTTAGATGAAATTAATTTTTAATTGGGTTTAAAAGTTGTTGATAATTAAGTGTTTTTTCTCCTCCTCGAAATGTTTTCGATTAAAATTAATTTTTGCTCGTTTAAAATGCTAATTAATTCGATTGTAAATCGGAGATAAATTAAATGCTGCCATCTGTTGAACTCGTTTTCAAGTATTTAATTTCTCGTTTGTTGCTTTTTTGTACGGTAAAACCTCTGACGGCGGCCACCTCCCAAAGACGGCCATCTCTAACGCGCAGCTTTTTTCAAACTTTTCAACGAAAATGCCTACGAAACAACCTCCCAACGACGGCCACTTTTATCATCTATCGATGTCCGCCGTTTACAGGTTCTACCATGTCTAATTTACTCAGAAAATACGAGTCTAATAACCATTCTGAAGTGGTAATTCTACATTTCTGCCCTTAGTTTCTACGCTCTGTGGTAGAGTCCCACCCCGGATTTTTTGCCTCGCGTGTGATTATGCCCCACGCTAATTAAGTAACCCTTTATAATTTTTTTTAATACACAGTTTAACATTCTAGGGAGGGAAGAAAGGCGTAAGAAGCGCTTTTATATTCAGTAGAACGGCGCGTTTGACGAAGAGCTAACCATACAATTCGGGAGCTGACAATTTCCACTTGCCTTACAAGTCTGGAACGTGCGACACTGGCAGACACGTGCTCCATAACTATACCATTTGTCAGGGTTGTATCTAGAATGGGGGGGAGAGAAAGCGGATACACAAGCCAGCCGGGACACAATTTATGGACGTCATAAAGACACTGTCATTGGCGGTGAAGTGGCACCGGGCCTCAGTTACCATAAGGCAGCTAATAAAAAAAGAGTAATGGTCGCAACTTGGCTAGAGACTGTACCAGTGCCTGAGTGTTTATGAGCGTATCCAACTAATGGATGAAGGAGGCTATTAGTACGCTCTAGCGGAGTTGTGGTATCGCCCGACACCCAGACGGTCGTCGGTCTCCCTTTTCGTAGTCGTTAGGTTTTTACACCTGATGTGTTTTTCCATATAATACACTCATTTTCTTCCCTTCTTTAAATCAGGATTTGATAGTTGATTGAATCTTCTCCTCTTTTTTCATAGTTCCTGTCCCCCCCTCGTAAAGTTCTAACTATCCGGAATTGTGGGGGACGAAATCACAATTTGATAGCTGATTGAATCTTCTTTTCATAGTTTCTATCCCCCCTCCCAAAGTTCTAACTATCCGGAATGAGGGGTTAAATTTATATCAATTATAATTTTTCTCTTTAAATTTAGGCGAATCTGATCGACGAGAATTTCAAGCCGAAACGAGAATGTTGCTAGACATAGTGGCCAAGTCTTTGTATTCAGAAAAGGAGGTAAGTGTTGCCACCTTTTTTTACTCACGAAAATGGTGCCCAATTTTTGTAAATATATCTTTTAAAAAGTAAGATTTATTGGTTTAAAAAAAATGACGATGAAACAAGCGTCACAAGTATTGCCAAGACGGGGGTGAAGTCGTCTAGTCGACTTAAAAGGCTTTAAAAAAAAAAGCCAGCATGGAAATGCTGCACGTGACTTCGAGGCAAGTTCGCTGTTCCGATCGTGCCATGACGTCACCGGAGCCGTGGAAGAAGGGGTTAGATAGGAATCCAGTCCGACTTGAGAGAACCATAAACCACCATCTCAGCGGGGTCACGATGCCAAGAAGAGGGAACAATGGCGCTCGTGGCTGCGACTCGTGCACTGTCCTGCCCGCTGGGCTCATGAAAACTTGGACATAATTAAAAACATATGGAGGAAAGTTTTTTTTTTTTTTTGCTTCGTCAGCAGAATGACTTTGTAATGAGATGTTTTATTCCAGACCACCAACCATCCTGGGCACTGTCTTGTTAACCCTTTGATTAAAGTTGCATAAGTGTAATGAAATACAGTCACCAATATCTTTGGTGGTGGACTCTGTGGAAGGTCTTAAGACTCTGCCCTTCTAATTACATCCTTTGTACTTACCGTGTATGTTAGAGTACACGCGACTGGTCTTAACCTCTGTTATACGTCATAAAAAAAATGGGGGAAAAAATTAGGTAATTTGTCTGTGATTCGAGATTTAATAGGTTATGCGAATAATCTTTTTGTGTATCTAAATTTATGAATTATTTTTTCTGTTGGTGAAATCTTAAATTGAGATTTAATGGCAAATAATACAATTATTGAGTTTTGTAAAGAAGAAAATGCTATTTACTTGACGCCATTTTAATTTAATTCCCTTTAAAAAAAAAACGTGCACTCAAGGCATAACTACCTCTCATATGGGTTCAAACTCACTTTAAGACGCTCCTGATTTATCATTTATACATTGCGGGGTTCCATGCATAATTTGAACACAGGCCCTTTTCGAGGACCTCGAATATTTAACAGAAGATCCCCTCTATGTGTGAGGCCCCATGAAGGTCGCGGCTCTGTTTATAATGGACTGTAAGGGTATCATTCACTATTGCTCATCCACGTGGTCGACTCAGGCTCATACGTAATGGGTTTAATAGCCATACAAGCTACATGGCGTTAATTAATTAATCAATCTAATTTAGGCTTACTTAACCTTGATTTGTGTATATCGGCGGCGTTATGAGATGATTACGTAAATGAGAAATTACGAAGGTGTAATTTTTCATGTGTTTAAAGAATAAATCACTAATTTATTGTTAGATTATTATAAATATGACGTTCGAAAACGATTCCCTATCTAAATTATCCGTGATTCGCAAAGATTCCGTTCACATTCGAACCCGGAACCCTCGCGGAGCGATTCGTTTATTAATTTTTTTGTTTTTTATTGTCTAGACAGAAAATTGTCTTCAACACGCAACAACAAACAAGAAAATATGTTTTTATATGAAATTTATTGATGGATTGTATAATTTATATACACGATAATGCTTTAAATTAAATTTTAAACTGGTTTTTTAATTTCAAATATTTGAATTTTTGTTCCGACCAATCAGCTTCGAGTACGGCCTAACGATTTGAAAGCGCCTAGTTTGTACAGCGTATACCGGACGTAAATAGTTAATTTTTGTATAAAATTGTATGAAATTTGTGTTTATGATTATGTACAGTCTATTATATAATCGATTAGAATCATATGCCAACTATTTAATGCAGTTTCATGCGTAATTTCTGAGCATATCTATATAATAATACTGCACACACAATGTATACACTCGTAACAATAGAACCAAATGAGTTGTAATAACTATAGATTATAATTTCATAAATTACTGAAAACATCGTAAAATATTACGCATACAACAAACCTGTATAAACCGGAATAGCACGGTACCGAATAATTTTCCGCTTTGGCAGGTTTCCGTTTTGAACAGGTGTTTTTTTAATGTAGAAAATCGCCCCATTCCGAAGAATTTTTCCCGTTTAGGCAGGTTTTTGTTTTATCCAGATGCGTTTCGGACAGGTTTTACTATTTGCACGCATTTCAGTATATTAATATAGTCGAACCTCTCAACAACGGCCATTTTCATAATGTTTTTGGAGGGGACAAAACTGCATTGAAAAAAAAAATAAAATAATAATAATAACCTTCGAACAAAAGGCATTTCGTATGTTTCCGCCACTGTCCGTTCTTCACAGATTCGATTTACAAAATGCAGTTTATTTAGCGTATTTGTATGGTAATTGCCATAAAATTTCTACATACGCGAGACAGTTCGGGAAAGAAAGGTTTTAGATATCAACGACGATGATAAAATGGCAGCTTGTTTTAATTTTGTTTCGTGGTAAATTACTTAAATTTATAGATTATATACAGTAAAAACCTGTCCAAAACGGAAACCTGCCTAAACGGATAAAATCTTTGGAACGGAGCGACTTTTTGTATGTTAAAAAAAACCTGTTCAAAACGGAAAAAATATTCGGTACCGTGAGATTCCGGCTTACACAGGTTTTGCTGTATTTTATACGTGAAGACAATCAATTTTCCCGAGGTAAATGTTGGAATTTTCTAAGAATACGTACAGTACGTATGCAGTGTTGTATTAATCTTCCGAAAAGTCATAAACTAGAACTATTATTATATTTTGTAAGTTATGAAGAATATAAATTTTTGATTTTAAGTCGAAAAGGGTTCGTTGATTCAATAAATCTCTTAAGTACACTAATTTTGATTCGTTCCACGCACGACGATAGAATAAATTTACGTACGCTGAATTAGAATCATTTTCTGTACATCAAAGACATATTCTTTAAGGTTTAGTGCCGTTAACTAAATTCCGCTCGGCATAAACTTGTAAAAAAAACACAAGAAAAACCCCTCTTCTCTCTCACTAAATTTTAATTTTTATAACATTTTTCATACCTTATTTAAGTGTTGAACATGAAATTTATTCCCCCCTTCCCTTCTCTTTCTCACACACAAAATGATCTTAAGACACTTAAAATTGTCTTAAAAATACAGTCAACACCCCTATAACACTGTTGATAATTCCGTTTTATATGAATTCCATGTTGTACGAGTCACTCAGATTTTACAAATACGTGTGCCGGACTGTGAACGGCTCACGTATTTGTAAAATCTAAGTGACTCGTACAACATGGAATTCGTATAAAACGGAATTATCTACAGTGTTATAGGGGGGTCGACTTGTATATACAGCCTGTGTAAATGATTACGTGTATTTTTTTTCTTAGGGTGGCTCAAAAATCGGTTAACCACCGTAACAACTGGCTTATTGTCTTATTTGTTTGTTTAGTTATGACAACGCAACACTTGGTCACTTGTAGGCTTTGCTGTCTTATTGAAATATACATGGATTTGAGTGCCACTACTTGTTGGCTTCTGAAATCGGCACTAAATCGGGTGTGGCGCTAAACCGAAAATAGGCTGCCTCAAGCGATAAGAAGTCGTGAGCTGAGACAATGCCACGAGCACCTCCAAGAAATGAGCGGAGTGCCCACTTTTTTGGGGGTGAGGATTGCGATCGCTTTACACAGAAGCTTTTCGATAAAAGTCACTCGTAAATAATGCACGTGTCCGGTTCGAAATTCAATAATTTTTTCCGCCGAAGTTAGGGGCAATCAATCCCCCGTGCTCCAAAACTCCACCCGTGTAAGACGTGTGCTTAGTTAAGAGGTTTCCGTACGAATTTGAGAGTGAAATTCACAGATAAGGATTATGGCGCTTTATTAGAGTTACTCTGTTTAAGAGAACGCTATATCGAGGTTTGATTGCACATTACCACTTAAATGTTAACGAAAACTATTCAGAAGAGGTCCTTCACGTTTAATGCATAAATTACGACTCTTCAGAAAATTCAGTTTACGATTCGGATTCGTAAGTAACTTACCCTACAATACACAATAGAACACGGGTTATCTGACTTCCGGGCCACCCTTTACATTAATACTAAAGGCGATGAATTACTTTTTGCTTGAAAAATTGAGATTCAGAAGAGTTTTTTAAAGCGAAAATTTGCCATCTTGCACATGTTTACGATCACAAAAGTCGAGTATTTTAATTATTTAATTTTAAATTTTCCTTTATTATATGCGGGTATGACGCAGTCCATTTCGTTTATAGATATTTAAAATGATTTTCTGTGCATTTCTACGCCGGAAGTAGGTGGAATAATTCGAAGCATTTGGTCGCCATCGAGTAGAATTTCTTGAGAAATATTTGATGTTTAGTAAAATTTGTATTGAATTCTGCCCTTTGTTCCCAGATTTTTCCTGAAGGTTTTCAAGTTTTCGAAAATTTAATCAAGTAGAACCCCCAGTTATTGAATAGTTTTGTGAATTCATCATCAATTTCCACAGGAGATTGATGATGAATTTATAAATTTCCACGCTTAAAAGTACTACTTTTAAAGCTCGAAAATGTTTTTAATTATCGACGAAAATTGTACAAGGACACGTTTTCATCCCGGAAAAACGAAGAAATTCAATTTAAAAACAGAACTTTTTCACGCGCTGTCGAGGCACCCTTCGACGAGCCTATGGCATTTTAGATTAGTTGAGGGGGGTTATAAAAACACCTCGTCACACCTCCTCCGTGTCTTTTATATCCTGAAGTGCCATCTGTTGCCAGAAAAAATAATCTACACGGTGGTACTAAATCAAAATTACTTAGCGTAGGAACCAGTTATACATTTCTGTAATTTCCTGGCATCATCATCATCATCATTAATTAATGGGCATATAAAGTCTTGATATTTTTTTTTATTCTAAAAACGTGTAATTAAAATAATTAGATTCCTTCTTCGATACTATATTATTTCCCCCTGTCAGAGCTTAAATAATGCCATTAACAATAGTATTTTCTCCCTACCTCTGATCGGTTATAGTAGTCAGTAGTACAGTACATAAACTT